CTTTTCATACCATAAAAATTATGTCTAAGACATTTTGTCGAAAAATGAATAGTTTCGGAAATAATTGTTTGCTTCCATACTTTTTCCCCACCCTGTATACGCAATAATCATCAAATTAATTAAGACAGCTGTCCAAAATCAAGATTAAAATAATTAAAACTTGAAATATTAAAACATTTTTAAGACGTCTTATATCATTTTTACTTCAATAATGACATAACTAAAAAAAACGTGATTTTTAAGTTATTAAGTACCATGAATGAGTTAAGTAAGCATTATCCTATCAACTATCAACTATCAAAAAAATCGAAATTTTTTTTGCTTAAATTTATAGTTTATACTCTTAAGAATAATATTTCAGTAGTTTTAAGTCGGTATCTTAACTGTATAATCCCGTTAGAGCCAATATCTTGCATCGCTTTACTTCCCCGAGTTCTCCGAGCGGCGTCGCACAGCACAATTCCGCAGGTAAAAGAGAATTTGAATTTCCAAAAATAGGTTTTGGCAGATGACTATAGATATCGCCACGTATTATAAGTTTAGGTGGCATCCCTTATGCAGACTAAAGGTACAATTCCGATTTATGAACAAAAAATCAGTACTAAAAACTGCGCGTTTTTCTCAAAACAAGATTTTAAAAAACGGTGTACATAATAACTTTTACAATTCTTAACCGATTCACTTGAAATTTGCACAGATTACTCTCAGATGTTTAATCTAAATAACTACGTAGGAATTTTGTGATATATTGAAAAACTTTTTTGTTATTAACATTTAAAGATGGAAATTTTTGATCGAAAATCGTAATTTTTTTTCAAACATTGACCATTTTTACAAAAAACAATATTTTGAAAAAATCCTACGTACTTCGATAGCTTTAAGTATGTAGAAAATAAAATTCTTTGGATTATTGTTCCAGATCCAATGATATACAAAGTTTCGTGTACACTGTTTATGCACTCACCGAAAAAGGAGGCTCAATATGGTTCTACTATTACGCCGCCATTTTGTGAGATGAAAATAAAAAAAAAATTTTTTTGTATTCTCAAAACTTTATATATTAAAGCCCTTCAAAACGATTTTTGATTGACTTTATTAGTTTACTGCAAAAAATTGCCAAATTTAAGTACCATTTTCAGGCCTCAAGGATGGTACCCCCCCTTAACTTCATAAAAAATTGTTAAAATTATCAAAATTCAAATAAGTAAATCATCAAAATCACAATTAAAATATGAAAGAAGATTTTTAAATTACTAAAAGAATGATTTTTTTAAGTCCGAGAGGTTTTACTTAATTTTTTTTACGTATAAACGATTATCTGAGGTGTTTTTATATTACAATTAAAGCAATTATCATTAACATGTTGAATGCCACGCTATTATATAACTTACCCAAGGCGCCAATATGAATATGCTATCGTGTGGTATATATTGTGTTAAAATTTAGAAATATTGACGTTTATTCGAATTATGTGTTTCTACGATATTAATCTTGACATCACCGGTTACTGGTGTCCCCTACGGCGTCACCGACAAACTGAGTCCCGGTCATCAGTAACCCCCATGGCATTCAATGTGTTAACAATATATTGTTTATTATTATTTTTCGATTTATTAATATTTTACACAGAACATTATGAATATGGATTTAATGGCAACTTTCTGACAAAAGTAAATAGGTAAATAGAAATCAAATAAATAAACAGAATAAACACGTCAAATAGCTCATCATAATAATATTTAAAAAGAATACAGATTTTTTTTGTGGGTTTTCGAATTGCATATTTAAAAGTTTGTAAAGAATAGTTATTAAAAAAGAAAAAATATATTAAAGAATATCCATACTAAACAATATTTTATAATTTACATTTTTTTGCCATTGAGGTGTAAAAACGACCCGATTGACTATTCCTGTGTTAATTGTAAAACGAAAATGACTAAAATGACATTTAATCTTGTTAAGAATATTTTTCTTTTTGCCGATATTATTTGATTAATCAATAATTTTCTGTCAAGTTAAAAATTAGTTTTTCAGAAAAATTAATTTTTCTGAGAAAATTAATTTTTAACGAGAAATTACAAATTAACAAAAAACTAATAAGTTTTTATAGACTCCTTAAATTAAAACAATTTAAGAAAAAATATATAACATACAGTACAGGCAATAGGAGTCAATGCTGGTTATCAATTAGCGCAATTCTTCTTAATATTAAAAATATAAACCTTGATAAAAAAAAAGTCAAGCCTTCATAAACCGATGGACAGAGCGAGGCGGACCCATTCAACAGCATATGTTGATACATGAGGCAAATCCTACTTTGAACATTTTCTTCATCCATAACTTTCCAAACTAAGGTATGTAGGCCATATATTCAAATAACGTTTTTTATTTATTTTAGTAT